TCCCATCCCCACGGTGCCACCAGGCTCCCATCCCCGGGCACTTCTCACCCAGCACTTCTGTCCCTGTCCCCAGTGCAGCCAGTGCCCTCATTCCGATGCCCAGTGCACCCCATGCTCTTGTCCCTGTGCCCAGGGCACCCAGTGCTCCTGCCCCATCCCCTGGCACACCCAGCGCTCCCATCCCCTGGTGCACCCAGCGCTCCTGTCCCCATGTCCAGTCCACGCAGTGCCCCCATCCTCATGGCCTGGTGCATCCAGCACTCCTGTCCCTATGCCCGGTGCACCCAGCGCTCTTGTCTCCATGCCTGGCACACCCAGCATTCCCATCCTTGTGCCCGATGCAGCTGGTGCTCCCGTGCCCGGCCCATCCAGCATTCCCATCCCTGTGCAGCTGGTGCTCCCGTACCTCTGCCCAGTGCTCCCTTGCTCATGCCCATGCCCAGCACAGCCGGTGCTCCCATGCCCGGCACACCCAGCACTCCCGTCCCCGTGCCCGATGCAGCTGATGCTCCCATGCCTGGCACGCTCAGCATTCCCATTCCCATGCCCAGCGCAGCTGGTGCTCCCATCCCCAGCACACCCAGTATTCCCATTCCCGTGCCCGATGCAGACAGTGCTGCAGCTCCAGCCCYGGGCACTCTCCCGCTGGGGCTCCCTCCGGCTGCAGCGCCGGGAAAGCAGCCGGTGCCCGGCTGCTCCGAATGAGCCCCGGCAGGAACAGCCCCCCCGGCGCCGCGCGGGGACAGCGGCACCCATGGGTGCAGGTAGCGGCCCCCATTGCTGCCGCAGCTGCGTGCAGGGAATGCAGCTCRTCAGAGCCTGTGCTGGGAGACACACACATGGGCATGTATGGACACATATGTGCGCAYCCCTAGATGCATGTGCATGCTTATGCATGGACGTGCATGTTTGCACAAGCACATGCATGCTCACATATGCATGTGCACGCCCATACATGCATGTGCACTTACACATGTATGTGCATGCTCACACATGTACATGCATGCCCACACATGTATGTGCACACTCACAAATGCACGTGCACACATGCGTGTGCATGCCCACAAATGCATGTGCTTGCTGCTGCATGTATGCATATGCTCAAACATGCATGTACACTCGCACATGCACGTCCACACATGTGTGCGCGCTCACATATGCATGTACATACTCACATATGCCCATACCTGCACATGCACGCTCACACATGCGTGTGCACACTGGGGCATACATGTGCACGCTCCTGCATGCATGCATGCACACTCACGTGCACACCAACACGCACACGTGCGCGCACACTCGCCCTCCACTCTCACAGCAGGAGCACAGGGGCCACCCAACCACACAGGCACCGCCACGGGGGTGGCACCAGCGCCAAGGGACCCTCGGTGCCGCTGTGTCCTCCCTTGCAGCGCTGCCCATGGGGACACACACGAGCAACCCCATAGTCCTGCAGCGTTGGATGCGGGCGCTCTGCCCCGCGGGGCGCCCGGCAGGGACACGCGGTGCCCGCGTCACCCGCACGGGTGCCCGAGCCACGCAGGAAGGCGCCGGGTGCAGGGTACAAAGTGGTGGCGTTTACTCACTCCATACACAACAGCACGTTACGTAGCCATACGCCCCCTCCCCGAGAGAAAGAGACCTAGAAAGTTTGATCGAAGGATAAAAAGGAGAATCCTTCCCGTCCTGCAGCGCGCGCGCGGCCGCCGCCTCCAGCCCCTGGGCAGCGGCACCGGGCGCCAGCGCTGCCCGTCCCCGTGCCGGTGCCCCGGCGGGCACGGCGCGCTTCCCGAAAGGACACATGCAAGAGGGGAGGGCAGCGAGCGGCAGCGCTGCCGGGCAGGGGCGGCCGGACACGGCGACGTGGAGCTGCCTGAAGAGTCCGTGAGGTTCAAGTCCTAGCAGATAAACACACCGATCAGTCGGAGACGAGGCCACTCTGGGGAGAGGGGAGAAAAGAAGCCCCAAAGAGAAAAACAAAATGAAAAGGAGAACGAAAACAGCAGTTGGAAGAGACGTCCCCGGCTCATCCGGTCCCTGCGTCGCCGGCGGCGTCTAGCGCTTGGAGAGCTCGTGCGATAGCCAGTCCAGCCCGTCGTAGAGGCCCGTGCCCTGGGTGGCGCAGGTGGCCTGCACGTACCACTGCAAGAGAGGTGTCGGTGGCCGCAGCCGCAGGGCTGCGCGCCGGGGAGCTGCTGCTCCGCGTGCGGGAGGGCGCTGCGAGTGCGGGAGGGTGCTCTGTGTGCACGGGAGGGCTCTGTGTGTGTGCAGGAGGGCGCTCCATGTGCACAGGAGGGTGCTCTGTGTGTCCAGGATATTGCTCTGAGTGCACAGGAGGGTGCTCTGAGTGCACAGGAGGGTGTTCTGTGTGCACAGGAGGGTGCTCTGAGTGTGCAGGAGGGTGCTCTGGGTGTGCAGGAGGGTGCTCTGTGTGCACAGGAGGGTGCTGCAAGTGCACAGGAGGGTGCTCTGTGTGCACGGGAGGGTGCTCTGTGTGCACGGGAGGGTGCTCTGTGCAGGAGGGTGCTCAGAGTGCATGGGAGGGTGCTCGAGTGTGCACCAGGAGGGTGCTCTGAGTGTGCAGAAAGGTGCTCTGAGTGCATGGGAGGGCTCTCTGTGTGTCCAGGAGGTTCTGAGTGTGTGGGAGGGCGCTCTGAGTGTGCAGGAGGGTGCTCTGTGTGTGCAGAAGGGTGCTCTGAGTGCACAGAAGGGTGCTCTGTGTGCGCAGGAGGGTGCTCCGAGTGTGCAGGAGTGTGCTCTGTGTGCACAGGAGGAGTGTACTCCTGCTGCAAGTGCGCAGGGACGCGCTGCAAGTGCACGGGACTGCGCTGAGTGTGTGCAGGAGGGCGCTCTCTGTGTGTGGGAGGGCGCTCTGTATGCACAGGAGGGAGCTCTGTGCGTGGGAGGGTGCTCCAAACGTGCAGGAGGGAGCTCCATGTGCACAGGAGGGCGCTSTGTGTGTGCAGGAGTTGCTCCATGTGCATGGGAGGGCACTCCATGTGTGCAGGACATTGCTCTGTGTGCACGGAAGGGTGCTCCACGTGCACAGGAGGGCGCTCTGTGTGTTCAGGACATTGCTCCATTCGCACAGGAGGGTGCTCCATGTGTGCAGGAGCAGCTTCATGTGCACGGGAGGACACTCTATGAGTGCAGGACACTGCTCCATGTGCACAGGAGGGCGCTCCGTGTGCAGGAGTGGCTCCGTATGCAGGTGAGGGTGCTCCATATGTGCAGGAGTGGCTTCATGTGCATGGRAGCACGCTCCGTGTGTGCAGGACATTGCTCCATGTGTGCAGGACATTGCTCCATGTGCACGGGAGGGTGCTCTGTGTGCACGGGAGGGCGCTCTGTGCGTGCAGGACATTGCTCTGGGTGCAGTGCATTGCTCCATGTGCACAGGAGGGTGCTCTGTGTGCATGGGAGCACGCTCCGTGTGTGCAGGACATCGCTCCATGTGTGCAGGACATTGCTCCATGTGCACGGGAGTGCACTCTGGGTGCATGGGAGGGCACTCTGTGTGTGCGGGACACTGCTCCATGTGTGCAGTGCATTGCTCCATGTGCACAGGAGGGTGCTCTGTGTGCATGGGAGGGCGCTCCATGTGCACGGGAGGGTGCTGTGTGTGTGCAGGACATTGCTCTGGGTGCAGGGCATTGCTCCATGTGCACAGGAGGGCACTCTGTGTGTGCAGGACATTGCTCCATGTGCACATCAGGATACTCTGTGTGCACGGGAGGGCGCTCCGTGTGTGCAGGACATTGCTCCATGTGCACATCAGGATACTCTGTGTGCACGGGAGGGCGCTCCGTGTGTGCAGGACATTGCTCTGGGTGCAGGGCATTGCTCCATGTGCACAGGAGGGCACTCTGTGTGTGCAGGACATTGCTCCATGTGCACATCAGGATACTCTGTGTGCACGGGAGGGCGCTCTGTGTGTGCAGGACATTGCTCTGGGTGCAGGGCATTGCTCCATGTGCACAGGAGGGCACTCTGTGTGTGCAGGACATTGCTCCATGTGCACATCAGGATACTCTGTGTGCACGGGAGGGCGCTCCGTGTGTGCAGGACATTGCTCTGGGTGCAGGGCATTGCTCCACGTGCACAGGAGGACACTCCACGCGTACGCGGCGCGGCCCCGCGCACGGCCGGCGCACTCACAGTTCTGCTGCGCAGCGTCTGCAGCCCCAGCTTGTCGGTGAGCTCGCTCACGGCCATGGCGTTGGGCATGTCCTGCTTGTTGGCGAACACGAGCAGCACGGCGTCCCGCAGCTCGTCCTCCTGCAACTGCGGGGGGAGCGCGCGGCTCAGCGCCGCGCAGCCCTCAGGGGACCCCAAAGGGCCGGGGGGACCCCGGCTCCTCCGGGCGCTTCCAGCACCTCCACGGGACAGGGAGCTCTGTATTCACAGCACGGGGCTGCCAGGGTGGCACTGCCTGGGACCCCCAAGGGGTCTGTGCAGGAGGCTGCTGCTCCTCGTGCAGGAGGCCAAAACGGGGACCCAGCACGGGTGGCCTCGCGCGCCGCCCGGGCTGCTCTGCRCCCGGCGATGCTCTGACCCCAGCACGGCCAAGGCAGCGGGAGCAACCCCTGCTGCCAACTGGCTCCGGGGACACCTCTGGAGCCGCCGTCCCTCCTGGGGCACACAAGGTTTCGGCTCTCACCCACTCGCCGTGAGCAGGGAAGGTCGGGCCAGGCTGGCACGGGTGCCCCACGGCAGCCAACAGCGGCTGAAGGCTCCGGGGGGGCCAGGGCAGCGTGTTGGGAGCATCCAAAGAGCAGCCCCGCTCTGGCAGAGGCTGCTCCCGGGCCCCGGCTCAGCCAAGCCCGGTCTAACCCAGAGCTGGGCTCTCCGGCCCATTCAGCCCCTTCTTGCTGCCCACCAGGGCAGCTCCAGCCTGGCCGATCAGAAATAGTCTGAGCTTAAGCCTCGCTCCTGGGAGCAACCCCTGTGCTTGCATGGGGACACTCCCTGAGCGTGCACCGGCCGATGCTGCGGTCCCGCCTCGCGCCAGCGCGTACAGGACAGGGGCAGGGCCTGTCCCCGGCACCCCAGGCTGGCAAGGTGACAGCCAGGCGAGTGGTGTCCATGCATGATGCCAGCCCCCGCACTCACCATCTTCTGCAGCTCGTCCGCCGACTCCTGCACGCGCTCGCGGTCGTTGCTGTCCACCACGAAGATGAGGCCCTGCAGGACACGGCAGGTTGGGGCAGGCAGGGGGGCCGGGGCAGGCGGCAGACACCCCACGGCAGCCGGGGACACGGAGCCTGGCACCGGGCCCACAGCCGCAGGGGTGATTAACGCTGCCCAATTAGCCCCTCTGAAGGCCGCGGCATCTCGTGGTCTCGCAGGAGCGGAACCCTCCGGACACGGGACCCGGTGGGGTCCTGGGGCACCGCTCCGGGAGCGGGAACGGCCGCGCGTGGCCGCCCTACCTGCGTGTTCTGGAAGTAGTGCCGCCACAGGGGCCGGATCTTGTCCTGGCCGCCCACGTCCCACACGGTGAAGCAGATGTTCTTGTACTCCACCGTCTCCACGTTGAAGCCTGGGGGGGCACGAGGGGGAGCAGAGAGCGCGGGCACCGTCAGTCYCCGGCAGCCCCGACCGCCTCCGAACGAGCCCCGCCATCCGGAGCCGTGGGGCACGGGGAGATGCTGCAGCCCCCGTCGCGCGGCACCCGCCGGAGTGCCCTGGCGCATCCGGTGCTGCCAACCCCCGGGAGTGCTCCGGGATTTCGCCAGCTGGGCCCTGGGAATGTCGCCTTGGAAACCTCAGCAGCCCACGGGACTCGTGTACCGAAAGTGACGGGACCATCGGAACTGGGGGCTCCTCTGGGGATCAGGGTGCTCGAGCAGCATCACCTGCAGCTCCAGACCGTGTCCAGCCAGGTCTGAACCTCTCCAGGATGGAGCYTCCCTGGGCAGCCTGCCTCAATGTTCAACCTCCCTCGCCACAACGCGGTGAATTCCCGCCTCCAGGTGCAAATTCCTGCATTTCAAGCTGTGCTCTCGTCCTGTCACCAGGTACCACCGACAACAACCCGGCACATCTTCTGGAAGGCTCCTTAAGGCACCAGGCCCACAAATAACACGCTGCCCTCAGCCCCCTGTCCCCAGGCTGCAGCCGCTGCTGCGGGCAGAGCTGCTCCGTCCCTCCTCGTGCCCGCAGCCCTTCCCCGCTCCCGCGGCCRYKCCGGGTGCCCGTTCCCAGCCCTGTGCCCAGCGCTGCAGCCGGGGCCTCCCCAGGGCCGGGCAGAGGGGCCGGATCCCTCCSTGCGGCTGCTGCCGACGCTCTTCCCCGCGCGGCGCCGGAGACCGCGGCCCTGKGGCCACCAGGGCCACCGCTGCCTTGGGGACACCCGCTCGTGATGCCCGAGCGCCGGCATCGGGACCTCCGGTCGCTGGCACCGGCCCCGCGTGTCACCCGCACCCAGCCCCG